ACATGCAAAAAAAGCCTTCTTACATTAAATACCTGGGTATTTCAGGAAGAAGTTTTATTTGACTTAAATTGTGAAGGCAGTTTCTCATTTGAGGAAAAGAAAGATAACATGTTTCGGTTGAAATGTCAAGATCCTTTGATTGCACATTTAGTTTCCTAGGATAAATTATTCTAGCCAGTGGAGCAGAAACTGGCTAATCAAAGGAACAGTGCACAGTTACACTTCTGTATATCATTCTCTTTTTTGAAAATAATAGCTGGAATTTTTTAAAAAGTGAAATTACAATTTACCACCTCAACTCAGAGGACATATTAGCTTGATAACTTATTCACGGTTGCTGGTGAGTTCAGGCTTAAATATCAGCTGCCACTCACAAGTGTTTACACTTGACCTTTCCGAATGAGACATCAAACGTCTTGGTAGTGGGTGGGTTTAAACAAAGCTGCCCACGCGAGAACCATTGTGGAGCTTCTTGTTCCGGGGCCAGTCACGGACAAGCTCATGACCAGCACTCTCAGATGCGACAATCAGATAACAAGAGGCAAGAGAAGACTTTCTGGGAAATAAAAGATCATTTTTGTGATTTCTTTAAATTCAGATCATATTAATTAGGTGGAGATAGACATTATTTCTCCTGTTTATGTAAAATAATTTAGACAATGAAGTCACGAAATTCATGAGAATAATTTAAAAACTGTTGGAACTTCCCAATGTTTTTCTTGGCATTCAGTCACTACACATAGAAATGTATACTATGCCGACTCCTAATGACTTAGCAGGTCCCTCAGGCTTTGTTCCACAGGATGGGACATTTCCTCTGCCAACTTTTCCTGCCTCCTTTCCCAATCATAGGACTGCTATTCTCCCTGACAAGTAAAGAATGACAAGAACTTTTATTTTAAAAGATGTTTTATGTATCTTTTAAATATTTTTAATGTATATATCTGCCTCTGAAATTATTAAGAATGGCTTAATAATAATCCCTTTCATCTTATTGCAGAAGACACTATTGTAATAGCATGACTAGGAAGGAAACATAGCTAATTATTAAGATGAATCATTTAGCAAGGTGGGGAAAAATCCCTTGTGTGTAAAAATATCTAGTGATTGACATGTTACCAAATTTATACAAAATACATTTCCATGTAATTGAGACTGATTTTTCCTCTTAGATGGAAGGAACCTTCCTGATCAGGAGTGGTGTTGGGGGAATGTTTTCCTTATAAAATGAGAAACAGAGCTTCTGTAGGGCCATCTGAGATCAGGATGCTTGCTTCAAGATGCCACTCTGCCTCTCTCCCCACCTGCCAAGTGTTTCCTGTCTCCCGGCTGCTTCCTATTGGCTTATTGTAAGGATTTTGACTTCTACGCTGCATGAACCGGGGAGTCACTGGAAGAGTTTCAGAGGTGCCCCTTGGTAGACTCACGCTTTCTCTGGATCTCATTGGCTGCTCTTATGAGTCCAGAATGGAAGAGGATGAGGACAAATGCAGGGGGATGTTAGGAGACCACTGGGCAGGTCCCTGTCATTTCTCTCTCTGTGATTCCTTTTGCTGCCACTTTCTCCTTGTCCCCTTGGCTCCAGCCCCGTGTCGTCCTTGCTGTTTCTTGCACCTGTGAGGCATGTTCCTGCCTCAGGCTCTCTGCCTGCTGTGCTGTCACTCCGCAGACCCACGTGACTTCCTCCTGAACCCCCTTCAGGCTTCTGTTCAAACATCACCCTCTCATCGAGGCCTTCCTTGACCACACTGCTTAAAATTGTCCCCCTCGCTTCACCTTACCACCTTCACTGCCTCATTTCTCCTTTGCACTTGCTCACCATCTGACATGGTTATCCAGAGCACGGGCCCCACGAGGAAGGGTCTGTCTTGTCCACTGCTGGACCCCTGACACCTACCCCTGGGGCTGGCCCACAGTTGGGAATTGCATGGCTGTCTGAAGCCAGCACCCTCCTGGTTCTGTTGTTCCCTGGAAGTGGGGTTCAGTGTACCCCACGAACCAAGGCCCTCGTCTCAGAGGGCGTGCACATGCTCGCCGCCTCAACTGTGCATTCACACTGGGCCCTTCCTGCAGTTTACTCTCCTATGTCAGACGCCCTTCAATGAAAGCAAGTACATCGCCACCATGTCACACCTCTAGTTACCATTTTCTTTATGGTCCAGGTCCTGACCAGCTCTAAAGATGGGTCAGCTGCTGTATTTCCAAGAACCCCATGACTTCCAGGGCCCCTTGTTCCCAGGGAAGCCCCACACCCCAGTCGTCCTGTGCATAACCTCATGGGCCAGCACCTGGTAGCTGCTGGAAGGCTGGGCCCCTCCAGTCCTACCTCTAGTCCTGCCACTTTACAACTGAGCACCTCCCGCTGCAGCCTGCTGAGTCCTTCAGAGTCCTTGCCGCTGGCCCTGTTTACTTTTTTCTGAGAAGGTATCTGTGATGCCAAAGAGAGAAAAGCAGCATTTGCTAATTTGGATAAAATGTTTCTTTGGGAAGGGCAAATTGATGTACAGTTGTCCCTCAGTATCTGTTGGGACTGGTTCCAGGACCCCTGTGGATACCAAAACCCTCAGATGCTCAAGTTCCTTATATCAAATAGTGCAGAATTTACGTATAACCTAAACACTTCCTCCTGTACACTTCAAATCATCTCTAGATCCCTTACACTACCTAATACAATCTAAATGCTATATAAATAATTGTTGTACTGTATTTTTTAAATTGCTTTTTTTTTTTTATTGTTGTGCTATTATTTTATTGGACTCCCCTCTCCCCCTCCTGCCCCAGTAATTTCAATCCAAGGTTGGTAGAATCCATGGATGCAGAAACAATGGATACTGAGGGCCGGCTGACTAGACCTATTTTTGTTGTAATTACTCATTCTCTTCTACCTCATTAAGCTTGGTTCTTTCAAGCATGAATACCTGGTTGAATCTGCATAACCTCTTATTATCGACCTACCTTTGTTCACACACAAATGATTGCTGCTTAGAGCTCTCCTACTAGGCTCCTTTGGTAAAATAAATTTTATTTTCTCAAGATAGAAAGAAATGTGATACCTTGCAGGTTCTGTGGTTTCCGTGTTTTGCTGGATTGCAAGTTCTTCAGGCTTAAACAAATATTCTGTACCCCAACATCGGTAGTACCCAGCTCTCAGTTGAGAAAGAGATGTAATTAATGTGAATGCCACTCTTGGCCCCAGGCACTCCTGACTTGCCTCCACTGGGGACTGGTTCATACCCTCCTCTCCTGGCCTCAGTTTCCACACCTCTTAGTGAGGCCTTTGCCTTATACTTCAGAAATATTGTCAGTATGACTTTGAAGATGAAAGTTCGCCCCAAAAACCGCTCTCTGTTATCACTGTGAAACCAGAGATGGAATGGAAAAATGGATTTCTGAGACATTTTAAATTATTCCTTGCTTGTCTTTAGAGGCAAAATTCAGATAAGAAAGCTTATCAATTATACTTTTGTTTCTACTCAAAAACTCATGACTACTCACTCAAAAGCTCCTTGTTCTTATCTTAAAACATTGTTTACAGTGTCCCAGATGAATGGCAACAAATCCTGGGGTTTGCTGTTTGGATGGTACATTTATTCCCTGGGGAAAGAAGTAACAGTTTGAGATGGAGCAGGGTTGGGGTGGGAGAATACTTCTCATTCTGAGGAATATCTAATTTTGCCAAGATGAGCATTCCTGGTTCTTAGTCTATTGATGAAAATAACTGGTTTGTTTCTGGAACTTTTGACAAAAAAATAAATAAATTTGTAGCTGAGGGAGTTTGGTTTTAAAATGCAAACACAGGAGTTATGAGTCGAGACTTGGACAGGGTGTCATTTTCTTTTTAAAGGGCAGCAGTATGATTCTTGGATTTGTCTTTGTTATCTTGACTTTTAATCCAGATTCCTGGGCAGTTGGTCAGCCCCAGGACATCTCCAGGGGCAGGTGGCCTGGCTTTGGCACACTACCCAGTAAATCTCTGCCTGAGAGGATGCTTCAGCTGGGAGGCCAGCCTGATTTTTAAAGGCAGAATTGGACTATTTACTCTCAAACACTCAGTAACACACACTGTTTAGAAAGAAACATTCCTATTCTGGGAGGTAGGAGGAGACACACAGAAGTGTCATTTACTTCTAGTCTTTTCTGGTAGAAGCTATGAAACTGAGTTTACTTTCTGGAAATTTGTAGTTTATTTTCTAGAAAATTGCATTTTATCACTGCAAAAAGGATTTTATTTCCAAATGAGTAGGCTTTTCAGCAAGAGTTTTGGAGTCACAGAGACGGAGTTAAGAAAGTGATAATGTGCAGTGGCGATTCTCAAGTTCAAGGAGGAAAAATAACATGCTTTTATTGGGAGACTTTGCTTGTCTATAAAAGAAAGTAGCTATTGGCATTTATGTAGAAGTCAGCAGTTTCTTGGCACCAAATAAATAATTTTGTTGTGAATCGAGGGAGAATTATCCATAGTATTTTTTACTAACCAAAGAAATGCAAGGAGAATTGTAATTCATCAGGTTTTGATGGTCAGGAAAGTCAAGCTGTGTTATTAGGGTCATGACAATCACAGACATTACGGATGGGTGACCTGTCCTGTGTTTGTGTGGATAGAGGGCAGACGGTGGAGTGTGAAATATATCACAGAATTATGTCAAATAATCTGGATAATTACTATTGCTTAAAATTGAAGTGCACAGCTAGAAAAGTGGGTAGTGATGCACTATGGTCTTGCTGAACACTGGGTAAGAAAATCATGGCAAACGTTGAGTCTGTTTTGGAAATGTTCTAAAACCAGACTATTAACACAGTGAGCCATTTTAAATGTGGCTTGCTACGTGTTTGGAGAGAAACACATACTCTTTTATTAGGAACATGAAACAAACTCTTTGAGCCGCAGTATCACTGCGAGTGAGTTTAATTGCTGGGATTAATAAATCACAGCTGCGAACGTTAAATTCTTGGCAGGATTCTTTATTCAGCTGTTTTCCCCTTGCCCCATTACATTCCAGATTTATGGTCTGCATTATGTCTGGAGCCAGAAGTAAGCTTGCTCTTTTCCTCTGCGGCTGTTACGTGGTTGCCCTGGGAGCCCACACCGGGGAGGAGAGCGTGGCTGAACATCACGAGGCTGAATATTACGTGGCTGCCGTGTACGAGCATCCATCCATCTTGAGTCCGAACCCTCTGGCTCTCATCAGCCGCCAGGAGGCCTTGGAGCTCATGAACCAGAACCTTGACATCTATGAACAGCAAGTGATGACTGCAGCCCAAAAGGCAAGAATGCTTCTCAGAACCTGAGTTTCTCTCGTAGAACAGAGCAAATTGCTCTTTATCCCTTGAGTAAATCCCTTTACCCCTTGGGTAATCCTAGGCTTCCTACCACCCTCTGAAAAATCATCCAACGGCTGGGCGCGGTGGCTCAAGCCTGTAATCCCAGCACTTTGGGAGGCGGAGGCGGGCGGATCACGAGGTCAGGAGATCGAGACCATCCTGGCTAACACGGTGAAACCCTGTCTCTACTAAAAATACAAAACATTAGCCGGGCGTGGTG